AGTGGCTTTTTTCTCCTCACGTTTTGTCCCACTGTCAAGTCCAGCCACTAACCTTATTCTCCTGTGTTCAGAACTCCTGATTCCCGTGACGTGTTACTCCAGATCCAGTATTCACAATTTCAATAAACTTGTTAAAACTGCTTTGGTGTTTGGCTCTGTGAAACTCAATCCCCCATTCATTACAGCTACATGGTGTTTTAATATTACTATGTAAAAAACGGACCCCAGAAGTAGAATTAAGTAATCATTTGCATTTTGGGTTTTCTTATGCTACTTTAAATGGTCTGTATCTAGGGTTATTAGCTGAACATTTTTTAACATTTTCACTGGTCCTCATTTTTGAATGGAATGCTTAGAGAAATTTTTATAGGAAATTCAATGGAAAACTGGTAATTAGTTCTGAGTTTTGGAACTTTACCTGAGAGGGTCTTACTTTGTATAAATAGCACTCGAATAAAATTCTTCATAAGTAACATAACATTCAACATAAATAAGAGGAAGTTAAATTATTGTTATAGTTTTACAAATTTCCATTTTCATAAATTTGACATTTCAGCTGGTGTGGTCATGATTGTTCTTTTATTAGAATGTCAGGGATCCAGAGCCTCAACGTGCATCAATAAATCCTGAGCAAGACACTAAACTGAACTTTGCCCCTAATGTGCTCTTTAATGTGTGGGTGTGATTCAGCTGAATTTATTTTAGTCTAATTTATTTGCATTTATAATACAAATTAAAATAATTAAATAAATCTAGAGCAACACATGTAAATGGCTTGAACCTGTATAGCGCCAAGTCCAAATGGACCCCAAAACACTTTACACTTCAGACATGTATAGATGAGACACTGTTTAAATAATAATAACCCTACACTGCTTAACTTCACTTGTCATATGTAGATATCACTATATTTCTGTGCAGTGTATAGATTCTGTTATTTTTGTTTTTATTTTGTATATGTGTTTTTTTAGTGTTATCTGAGAGAGCTCTATTAGTATTAAGGTTAAAGGTTAAAAGGTTATTTGATGTAGTAAGCACTAACCTGAGATTTTCACTGATGTTTGATGTGAAACTCTGTTTTCAGTTTTGTATTGTATCTTTATTATAAAGGAGGCAAAACATGGTTTTATCAATACTTTTATTAAGTGAATCTTATGGTTTCTACAGAGATAAAATGACAAACACAAGACAAGAGAGGGGTGAATTTTACTGATTGTTTTAGTTCAGGTTACGTTTCTGTTGGCTTTTCTAAGCTAAGGTGTATTCCTTTATACTGTAAGTTCTAATTCCTTTTTGTGCACTTTTTGTGTGGCGTTTGCAGGTGGACTCAGTGATTTCTGCCTATACAGTGCATGACATGACACAACTCTATTGACATGCATGTTAGGTTAATTGTTGACTCTGGATTGACTATTTACTGTATGGGTTACCCCAGTGAATAGACCAGATGGATTTCTACGTTGCCTCTAGCAGAATGTCAGCTGAGAAAAACTCCAGCTGCGCACAAACCTCACATGGCATCTAGTACACAAAAAAGAATGGATATTTTTATCTGCTTGCTTTTAGTTAGATGAGCAGACCACCATAAAACTGTCTTTGTGGTGAAAACTAAGTGTGACCTCTTTCAAAAACATTGTTCATCTGCTGTTAACATTTATTCTACAGGTTACCTCTCTGTGAGCAATAAGAAAGTCATTAACTTAATGACTTACACTGTGGTTTTCATTGTGAAGTATGTGTTAGACTAATTAGTCATGGATGAGACCTAAACACAGATTGTAATTTGTGTGTTTGTATTTATATTGAGTCCTACTGAAGGCAGCATAGTCAAAACTCTGTTAAAGAACATTTTTTGGCTTTTCAAATGATTGCCCTACAAACAGTATAAAACAATGTTATCTGTTTTTCTGTCAAAAAGAAAAGAGTTCTCAATGTTTTTGGAAATAAGATGACTGTGAATACTGTATATGAATGTTGTGCCCTTGATCATCACAAGAGACTGTAGATTGTAATTACAGTATGGTTTCTTTACCATAGCCTCGTTCATAGCTGACAGCCAGCTTTTACTGTCTAAACCAGCTGCAATAAAAAGAGAAACAAAAATAGACTGTAAATTTACATCAACCAGGTCTTTGATTCTATTTTTGATACAGTGATTATTTTTTTTTTCAGCTGCAGGTCAGTGAGACTCACAATGCTAAATTTTAATTTCGCTTTTGTTTGAAGCAGTTTTACATTTACAAATATTTTACTTTGGTATCTTGTTTTTCATCAGTCCATTTTCTATACCCATTTTTTCTTTCTGGATCAAGGAGAGCTGGTGCCCATGCCCAGCAGTCATTGTGCAAGAAGTGTGTGGGGGGGGTGGGGGTACATCCTGGACAGATTGCAAGTCCATGACAGGACCACATAGAGACAATCGAGACAAACAACCACTCACATCTATGGACAATTTAGAGTCATCAGTTAACCTAACATGCAGGTTTATTTGGTTTGTGGGTGGAAACCAGAGGACCCAGCAGCTATGGCTGAGTGGTTAGAGGAGTCGTCCTCCAATGTGAGAGTTAGTGGTTCGATTCCCACACAATTCAGTCATATGTTGAGGTGTCTCTGAGCAAGACACTGAACTCCCACTGCCTCTGATGTGTGTCCCATCAGTGCATGAATGGGATTTAAGCACTGATTAGTCTCCACAGAATGATCTGTCTGGGTTAGCTTTGTAGAGAGTAGTAGAGTGCAGTGTGGATGGGGAAATGAAGACACAGGTTGTATTGTAAAGCACTGAGTATCCTGGTTGGATAGAAAGATGCTATATAAGTATAGTCCATTTACCCAGTGAAAGCTCAAAAATATATATTTTGAACATGCAAATTTAAAAAACAGCTGGTGGGGGGCTGGGATCTTCTCCTTGAGAGATGACAACTCTTATAACTGCACCACCATGCTACCAATTATTTGTTTCTAGAAACCATTTTATTAAGAAAAAAACTTTTGCACAAATGACATCCATTTACTAAATTCTTATTGGTGCCTATTTTAGTTCAAACAATTTCACTTACAACAAACGTGTATTATTCATACATGGGACTGGTTAGTATCGGATGAGAGACCACCTGGGAATGCCAGGAGCCATACCAATATAAGAGTTGCACCTACGTTGTTCACCAGCAATAGAAAACCTTTGCCCATAAAGAGGTCATTGGTCACCTTTAATGAAGGATATCAAATCAATTATTCATTGTTAGGTTAAAGAAAATATTGTCCAAACAACTGTCACTGACTGAAATTCTTTGTTTGCTTCTCTAGGCAACATCAGCATTCAAGCAACTTGATGGAGAAAAATAAAGGAATCCCTTTAAGATGACACGTACAGACCCGCCTGACATACTGGTATCAACTGTGCATCAAGATATAAAAGTGATTCCCATTTCTTCCCTCTACAAGTCCTTGCACCTGTCCAAACGATGTAATTCAATAAATTACAACACACTGGAGGACAGTAAGAGCATATTCAGTAAGAGGCACTGCCGAACCTTTGACATGAAGTCTCCATACAGAAGGGCTGACAGGCAGGCTTCCAATCCAGATGTTGCCTGGAATGCCTTGGGCCGTCAGCAGAAATATCGCTTTTCTGCCCCTGACATTTTCAGTCATAGATCAACTCCTCAATCAGTGGAAGCAGATATGACAAGTGAAGTAGTTGTCCCTGAGCACAAAAGAAGGACCAGGTCAAAAAGTGCCTCTCGAGTCCAGACCAGCCTCACTCCTGTGTCTTTTGAAGGACCATCGTCTTCAGGAAGGAAAGGACGAGAGTCCCAAAGGGCTCCAAGAGACTCTCGCTGGAGACCTGAAGTATCACCGCGTAGGGAGCCATCCTATGCAGCATCAAGGGCTCATTTGCATGAAGTACATCCAATTAAGTTGCAGCCTCAAATTGATGACAGCAGCAGATATTCCCCACACTATGCTTCAGATAAATTTGAGGATGGAAGTCTGGATAAACCAGCGACTAGCCCTCACGTTAGGTGTCGAGTAGACATTAAGCCTGATGCATCACACCATTCAGGACAGAAACAGACTACAACACCAGTGGACATACCCTGGCAGAGACAACACAGTGGGGGGAGGAGTCTGACTGTGCCACGTCATTTCTCCTATTCTAGGACCCCAACCCCCACTGATTCAATGGGTGCAGAAAGTAGGCAAGCTTATCAATATTCTCGCAGCGTGCCAAATAGTCACTTGCAACACATGGAGCATCCCTTACAAAGAATGACTTCTTCGGGTGACTATTATGGTAGGGAACCCCGAGCTCACTCCAGTCCTAATGTGCCAACCAAGTTCTTTTATGCAGATGATGCAGGAAGGTATGTTACGACAGCTCCTCCACAGCCAAGTTCTTATTTTCATGATGAACGTTACACTCCAGGACAACCATATACTCCAAAAGTGCAATATGTGCAAGATCCAAGGACTCGAATGGTGCATGCTGTAGCTACAAGACCTTATTACCCTGAAATGGAGCCCTATGGGTACTCTGTGCAGACAGGGTACCCCAGACAATATGCAGCAAATGAACCGGGTCCATATATTATTAGGACACCCCCGGCAAGAATAGTTTATGGTGATGATCCAAGAGCTTATCAAATTCAGACTGCACCACCAAGGTTTTATTATTCCAGTGACATGTATGCAGTGCCACCAGAACACCACGTCCCAGCAAGAGCATATTACACTGAGGGCCGAAGACACGCTAGAGTTGTTCAGCCACAAACGGATGACTGGTATGGCTCTGATGCATCTGGTTATTCCACCAATCCAGCCTCTTACGTTTCTCAAGTGACTCCAACTAGAGTCCGGCAAGAGCCTGTGCTCACGCCGTGGTATACCAGCCCATGTGTTGAACCTCAAAGAATAGGCACAGATTCCAAATCTTATTCAAGGTCTTGGGACAATATTCTCAACTCACGGGTAGAAAGAGAACAACCTCTCCCTGTGCAGAGAGGTCAAAGCTATGATGATCTTCTTGACTCTAGGAAGCCTTCCTCAACCAAGGGTGATAAACCGCAACCAGTGGTCGTCAATCTTTCTAGTTCACCAAGACGCTACGCAGCTTTATCAGTATCCGATAATTCACTCATTGACAAAAGCCCAACAGAAACATCAAAAAGTACTACCAGTAAGCTCTGGTTTGTCACTCCTGAGATAACAATCACTGATAATGACATTAGGACAGGGAATCTTAGCAAGGTTGAAGGACGGTCAGCAAGTTGGGATATTCTTGATTCCAGAAGTACAGAGGGTCCAGAAATGCAGCATGATTTTGAAAGCTCAACCAAAGAAAAGACACATGACAATGCCTCGCTTCAGCAAAGTCTTGAGCAGCTTGATGAGCTCTTAGCAGACCTTGTGACTGACTACAAGCCCCCCAGCAGAAGGGCAAGTGAGGACATTCTGGACCAACTAAAGAAGTTAATTGATGAAGAAGAAGCCATGTCTCTGTCCAGAAAAAGCTCAAAGACAGGTGCAGAGGAACCACCTCCCTTGGACAAGCAGCCAACTTCAATCAAAATGAATCCAGATGCTTTTCGAGAAATGGATGGAGCAAGTGATGCAATGAAAACTGCAGAAGAGTGTTCTCCAGATCAGAGCCCAGATGAGGATGATACAATGATGTGCTCTAACAACAAATGCAGAAGAACAGAGACCTTATTCAATGCTTGTCTATATTTTAAATCCTGCCACAGCTGTTACACCTACTACTGTTCTCGGAACTGTCGCAGAGAGGATTGGGACATTCATAAAGAAAGCTGCTTGTATGGAAGAATAGGAAGCACATGCCGCCACATCATAAAACACTGCCGGGAGACTGTTGAAGTCCACAAAGCCTTTTCCCGTATTGCCAAGGTTGGCTACCTTTCTCGAGGTAGGGGGGTTCTCTTCCTTGGTTTTCCAAACCCTGCATCCTCCAGTAACTTTCTGCAGTATGGCCTGGATAGTTTACCCATGTCTCCTACATATCTGTCCCTCAGAGAGCTTGAAAGCTTCAAGGACAATCTGGGTGAATACTGTAAGGAGCTGCAAGAAGCTGGTAAAGAATATGACCCAAATGAATGTTTCATCTTGAATGTATCCATTGCTGTGGGTGAGCAGCTGCCCGATGGGCCATCCCCAAGAAATCAAGCTCCAACAGTTAGAAAATATGCAAAGGTCGCATTGGCTTCCTTTAGCCCAGAAACAAAGGTTCACAAAAAAGAGAGTGACATGGAAACACTAATTCTTACTCCACCCCCCGGAACAGCTGATATCGACAAGGAGGGAGAGGAAGGTCGGAAGGCTAGAGAAATCTGCTTCATCAATATACAACGAGAGTTAAGAATGCGAGGAGTATTTTTACGCCACGAATACCCACAGGTGTATCAGCAGCTCTGTGACTTTGTGGAAAAGAACAGAAGATTCACGCCTACAACTATATATCCAATTAATAAGCAGACTGGTAAACAGTTTATGTGCATGATTATGGCTGCCTCAGAGCCCAGGACGTTGGACTGGGTTGGCACTCCACACCTCCTCGATGACATTATTTAGGTGCACTTTTTGTTATGAATATATATGTATGTGTATAGAAATACATATATATTGATGCACATATTTATAAATTGATCCAGTTACAGACATTTGTAGATAAGTATTTTTTAACAAAATGATATACATTCATGTCCGCTTGGTCAGTATTATTCTTTATCAAACTATTTCTTATCGTGCAGAATAAGTACAACATATAAGGAATTTATTTTAGTCTGAAAGCAAATACTTTAATTTTACCACAAGTCTTTTGTGGTTAAATACTGTTACAAGACATTCCCTTTGGTTGGGATTACCTAAACTCGTACTGGTGTTTTGATTATCTCAGATTAGTAAAACCGAATATTCTTTTAATCTTAACATTTTACATGATACATCTGTGAGTACAACATGAATATTTTCATATGTGAATTCAATGGTTTATCATGCAGGTAATACGAAACATTATTTTCTTAGCTACGCAAATACTTTCTATGCAAAGTTGTTTTATGAGTTAAGTACCACATTCCTGCAGATGGAGTAGCTTCTATAATATATAATGTAATACTTAAATATATATTATCATGTGATAGATCTATAAAGAGAATTGTCAAAACAGCGAGGAAACAGAACTTTTGGTGGCCGTGTAAGCTGTCATTATAGGACAGCAGTGATGGCTGAGAAGAGACAATTGTGCAACTTGAAACATCTAAATAAATAGGCACAATTTTTATGTACCTTTACTGAGAATAATCCCCTGTCTAATAGCATACTTCTGGGGTAAACAAAGGTTATTTCAGTACATTTAGCTTTTCTGCACAGCAGAATTACTGTAGTACTGACCTTAAAAATTTCCAAGATGGAAATGAAAATGGTGCCAGATACAAGCCCCACTTTTGGTGTTGGCCTGTACTGTTCAGTTTTAAACACTGTGAATAGTAAAATATATGTAGTACAAAAAATAAAACTTGGTGAAAAAAAAACAACAAATAATGCAACTTCATTGAAGATGGAAGTTTATGAGTTGTCCTTTTAGGAATATTTACAAGTCAAGCTATAGGAGTTATTGTTTTTAGAACAAAGTGAGCCATCTTTGGCACAATATCTATGTTAGGCTACAAAAATACTTAAAAATAAAGTTAGATGTGTATTTGTGGTAATCTAGGTTTATTATATGTATGATGTCTTCTTTTTTTCTTTTTTTCTTTTTTGGATTTTAGCAAATCAAAGTTCTTTTGCTTATTGGAAACAAAAAAATTTGAACATTTATGAATGCATTTTAGCCATTTTGCCTCATCCTGTTTTTTAAGGTATTATATCTTTTGACTTTGTATTTGTAGCATCCTAAATCTCAATTTCCCTGACAGTAAAGTGATTACATTTTAAAATTTCCAGTTGAGTTTTAAAAAGGGTTTAGCTAGAATATACTGAATGTTTGGAATGCTAAAGTCACGTCTATATTTATAAATTGTCCTGACACCTGCCTGACTATATCTGGAAGATGTAAATTTGTTAATCAGACTGATCAATTTGTTGTCTTTTAGTACTATCTTCTTGTCATATAAACTTTTTCCAAAGTTATAAAGACAAAGTCCGATGAAACGAAGCTTTTAATGAAAAAATAAATAAATAAAATACAACAGTTTCACACTTGTGATTGGCTGAGAGGACGTGTTGTACAGATGCCCTGATAAGTTGGCTGGCTGCATGTGTTTCTGTTTTCTCTCATTTTAACATGACATTGATAGTAACTTGCTTGATGAATGGGCTTGTGAAAGTGAACATTATGCTGTGTAAGATAAAAAAAGTACATTTTTCATTTTTGTTACTTATGTTTAAATAATATGTCAAAAGCAACGCATAAGAGACCTCACTAAAATGTTTAGAAAATTCTGTAATCTTGTATTTTTTATACTTTCAACATATGTGTGTGTGTATTTATAAACCATGTCCAATAAATGGAATGGAAAATACTATTTGTTGTTGTTTTACTCAATTAAGCTTTTAATGAACTCTTTTCTTATTCATACTCATCTCTACTCATTATAACATTTTAGCTGCCCAACATCTCAGGGTTTTATTACCTCTGCCAAGGAGGTTATGTTTTTGGTACTGCTGGCTTGTCTGTCTGATTTTGCACAGAATTAAAAAGATGTGAACAAATTTTCAAGAAATTCTCAGGAAATGCCGAGGTCATCACAAAGCACTTATTAAATATTGATGATCATCGTTCGGATCCTATAGGGACTTGGTGAAGGTGTGCACTCCCTAACTTACAATTTATAAGTTCAAATGTGTCAGGTCTGCAGCCAGCTGAGCAATTAGGAAAATATCTGCAACTCCAGAGCCTCTGAAGTGGAACTGACTAAAAATGAGATGTACCTATGTAACTTTTGTTTAGAAACTTACAACGGGAAGCAATAATTTTAGCACAGGGGAATGAAACTCATTTTCACCAGGGGCCACATGAGCATTGTGGTGTCCCTCAAACGATCAGCTGTAATTAACTTCAAGGTTTTGTTTTTAACTTAAACAAAATAAGAAACATCATGTTCCTTGTCTCATTGTTACAACTGAGAACTGCTAACAAACAATAACTGAGCTCTATGTGGTATTTCCTGCACAGAAACAGTTTTAACATGTCCTTGCATAAACACTGAAAAGTACTACGTGTACTACTGACTAAATATGAAACAATAATACTTTTATATTTTAATGTTAAAAGTAAAAATAAGAGTGTTTTACTCACTGTTGAGTTGTGGTGAGTAGCTGCCAATCTTGAAATTTGAACTGGGGTAGTTCGAGTTCTCTCACTTTCTTACAGGAAATTCTGACTGGAGGGGGCTCTCAAGTTGAAATTTACAACTTGTAAGTGGGAAATTCCAACTTTCCAGTACAACTGGGCCGCAGCAAAATAGTTAGGATAAATGCAGCTAAATGGAAAATTAATGGTGAATTTCTTTTGAACCTTGCTCACCTCCACCTAGTGGTGATGTGCCTTCATTTTGCAGGTAAATGGTTGACATGCATTATGGGAGATGTAGTTCAGGGTCAACACTGGCTTTAAATAAGCATACAGTTATTTTTAAACACCATCAGATGATCATCAATTGATAACTTTTTGTTTATGCAACATTTTGACCTACAGTACTGTTGTTCTCCAGATCCACCAGAAAGCTCATGTTTTTCAACATGCAATTTAAAGGGACAGCAGTCAAATACATGATGTGATGTGAAGTTCTGGTTACCACTAGTTAGAACCTCATCAGCCATGACGTCAGGCATAGAGCAGAGTGTGGAGAAAGAGTCAAAAGTCTATGATAAGGCTAAGCTAATGGCTAGCCAAACTAGTGTAATTTTTTAAAACCAAACTTTTAGTACAATTCTTTTTCAAAAATAATTTACTGCTTGTATATTTGGTCTTGATCCTGCCCTATAGATGTTAGCTAAATCGATGAGAATTTAACTCCACGATGCTGGTCAAAGACCTACATCTACAACAGGTAAGATATTTACTGTTTAAAGGCTTCCCAGGAAACTAAAAATGTGTGCTGCTGTTTAAATAAACGACACAGATCACCGTGGCTTTACTTGGTTGTAGACCTGTCCCTTTGAACATCTGCTCACAGATGTTTTATTCTTTTTCTCACTTAGACAAGATGGCACCACAAACTCTGAAGATGAGACAGCCTCCATCTGTCCTACACCCACTGCATACTTCATCATTGATTTCATAGTCAATAAATCATTTAACTTAGCTCCAGCACTGTGTGTGTTGTGTGAGTGTTAGTGTTCACGCTGTATGTAGGCCATGGCAGTAATGGAATGTAAAGCGATGGGTTCAAATGGAGCGGACCTCACTCCTCTGGCTGGGTGTTAGAGGGGAGGCTTAGCATCTTTTGTGCCTGCTGGCAGGCTGACAGGACAGTGAGGCTCAGATGGGTGCATTCAGCTGTCTGAAGGGCTCTGGAAACCTTCAAGTGAGTGATTAGCATTTCTAAACAGATAACTTGGAGCTTTTACTAACACAACTTTGCAAATGATTCCGTGTCTCCGAGGTAACAAGCACATCCTAGCTGCACTAATCTGCAGCTACTTCTTTAAATAAAACATTTAGATGAATGTTGGAAGGTCCTTTATAATGAATCTGTTGTCAGTTAACTATATGTAAAAGCATTTAGGCTTGGCCTTTGCTAGTTACCTCTGACTATGTACTGCACGTTAGGGGAGACCGGGGACAGTAACAACAAGGGACGGTTACAACACGTCATTTTTCTCCCAACAGAAACAAGCTAGAGTGATGACACTCACACTGTCCATGCTCAGAGGCTCCACCTTGCAAAGAAAAAGTAAGCAGTTTCAAAAACTGCTCCAGGGTTTATTTGAAAGAAACTGTTTTTGAGGTACCAAAGTTTTTTTTTGCCCAACTTTATTTTTGTTATACTGCTGTCACTGTTTTTGTGATCCACCTCAAACTCATATGGTTTAAACAAGTGATATGTTGACTTTTAACTAATATAGTTAACATGTATCCAGATCAGCGTATTTAGCTAACACATGTGGTTTTATCATGGCTGACAGGAAGGGGAACAGTTGCAACAACCGTAATAAATCAATATAAAAACAGAGCACATACAGATGATATTAAGATGTTGAAATTAAGTTTTCACTTAAACGGGTATTGGGTATTCATGACAATTTTGTAGTTTAAAACATAAAAGGGTTTAAGATGTATTTTCTGCTGTTGTTGTTTTCAACAATGGTTTTAAAATCTCAGTTTCTTTCAATGTAAATTTTGAATAATGTAGGCGTACAGTGACAATAGGCAAAACAAAAGTTAATCGCCTCACAAATTGTTCTATTATCCATGTCTCAAAAGGTCAACTGTATTTTATATCAGTTAGAGTCTTTGACATCTGTATATAAGGTCTACTCATCAAGGCAAATCTATATTCATCATTTGATCAAAAAAGAATAAATAAATAAATAACACTATAATATCATTATAACTTACATCCATCCATCCAGTTTTTATAAAGTGAGCAATAATATAAATATAAAAATAATAAAACTTTTATTTACAGTGAAATATATTGTATTAATAATATGTTGTAACCACCCCCATACAATGTTGCAACTGTCCCCAGCACCGGGGTCAGTTGCAACATCTGACTTTTCATTTTCAAATGCAAATTGTGAAGAATGTACATGCTTTAATCATCTATAAATGGTTTTGACTATTAACAGATGTAAGTTTGTTGTATTAAAATTTATTTTGTCTAATTCAAACCATCTCTGAGTAACAGAGTCAAATGTAAAAACGGTCTCCCCAACAACTGTCAGATTTTAATATAGATTGCAGCTATTTTAATAGGCCCGTTTGGTTAGCAGATGGTGATGCATGCAGCAAGGTTTAAGAGACTGCAACTCAAAACTGAAGAAGGCTCAAATAACGTTTGATGACACAAAAAAAAAAAAAAAAACTTAAAATCCCAGTGCTAGTTCTACCCCACCAGTGCCGTCCCTTGTCTCTAATCTTGTTTGTGGTGTTCATGGACAGGATCTCGGGGAGACGTTGTGGAGAAGGGGGCATCAGGGTCCTTTCTCTGCGTTTTACAGATGATTTGGTTCTGTTGACGTCTTGGAACCACGACCTTCAGCGCGCACTGAGTCAGTTCACAGCCGAGTGAGAGTCAGCTCCTCTAGGTCTGAGACCAAATGCTCCCTGAGGGTCTGGGATGAGTCTTTGTCTCAAGAGGATGAGGTCAAGTATTGGACAGTCCTGTTCATGGGTGACAGAGGGATGAAGCACGAGATGAACCAACAAATCAGGACTGACCTCAGACCTTCATTTCTCATTATGTTACTCGAACATAATTTCTGTGGTGCTCTCTGTGATTTAAAGAAAGTATAGTTCAAGTATTAAAAAATTCTCACAGTGTAAAAGGAGCTGAGGAAAAAGAAGTAAAGGTCTTGATTTCATCACGTCTCAGGAAGTCGTTGAAGGAACAGTTTGAGAGGAACGGATTCTCAAGAGACAAGACAAAAGGGAGGTGGTTCTATTTACAATTAGGAAACGTACAACTGGTCCAGGTCTGCAAGGAGGAGGAAGTTTCTCATCAGAGGTAAAAATATCAATAGACTGAAGTGAGAGTTTAACTGCAGAAGAGGTCGTGGAGAAGTGGTTTCCATTCAGGCAGGAGCAAAGAGCAGGTGGGTTTGGTGAGATGTTGGCAGGGCAGCAGAAAATCAAAGCACAGAGTCATGACTCCAAGGCGAGTGGCACTATATTGAATGTACTGAATGTATAATCTGTACAGTAATTGTGATATATTTGCTTTTTCTTTCTGATAATGGATGTACAGCACCTTGTGAAATCCTTTTCTGTGAAAGGCGCTGTATAAATAAACTTTTACTTACTTTTTACTTACTTACTTCCAGGGTGAGGAGGCTGACAACGTGCGCTTTAACCTCAATTCAACAGAAGTGAAGAACTTAGCAGTCTGCTCACTAAACTAAAAGAGTGAACAACTGTGATTTATTTTGCGAGGAGAATTGAACCATTTATGTTTTTTTTCCTTCTGTTGAGCTTCAGGCTCAGATTTGAGACACTAATTGTTTCTTTAGCTTCTGAATCCATGTTGAGCATTCTCTGAGAGACAATTAGGACTGAAAGAGAAGAGCCTTCTCCTTATGGTGGCCCGTGTGGAGCCATCACATCCACCTCCACACACACACACACACACGCACAGGGGCAGCTACGAACAATGATGTGACAGTAGGTGGGTCAGGGTGAGTCAGACTTGTGGGTCGAATGTTATCCAGTCCATCATGTCTCTGTGCAGAGCAGTACAAGCTCCCAAAATGTGACTCATTTTCATAACGCAGCAGGACACAAGGAGTCTCTGCACAGACTGACTGTCGAGGCAGAGCTCAGGGGTCATGTGTGTCGCTGGAAGTACACGAAGCAGAA